AATCCTCCAGGAGGCTTGGAGTAATATATCAAGTCAATGTTTGAATAAACTGACTGCTCGGATGCCTAGTGTTGTCCCTTATTATCAATGCAAAATGGTCACTAACTAAAGAGGATTTATGCTGATATTGCCCAAAAACCCTATTTTGTTCAGGCGTTTCCAAACTTTTGGAGGGCAGTGTATATATATATATATATAGAATTGCCAGTTTACTTGGATAAATTCAACCAGAAAATCGATCGATTCAATGTAGAACACTCAAGCACACACTTAACTAATGAACACTGTTCATTAGTGTCTTCAATTTATTACATTTAGTTAGACATTTAAATCAGGCCATAGAGCCAGGAACCATCACTGTACATTTTTGGCTAGATGCTCACTGCTATCTGTAAGCTTAGTATCCAACCTTTAAACTGAGCTGACTTGCCTTGATAGAGAGTGTGCTGGGCACATTGGTGTCAATCTTGTCGGTGAAGGGGTCAAACGTCTTGTCATTCCTCCGCATCACATCACTTTTTAAGAGGTACCCAGTCCTCCCGTTATACTCGAACATGGCCATGTTCAGTTGCATGGGAAAATCTACACGTCAAAGCACATCAAATTAAGCTGACAGTCCATTTCACTGTGACAATGGGCCTCATTTATTAAACTGGTTATTGTTTGCAGGGGAATTTACACAAGAAATATGTTAGCCATGAAAATACAGTTAATAATCCAGACAGGAAGAACATTCATATCCTAAGAGAGCTCCTGACTTTGTGTAAATTTCCGTGTAAGGAGACTCACTAATGTGAGCCTCTACTGATAGGCTTCAAATTGTATAATTAGTGTGAATTACTACAATTTTATATACAGATTACACTGTGAAATGTAAATAATGTATTTATTTCAACTGAATTTAATGTAAAAGAATTTGTGAAAGAAACCAATCCAAAACAAAAAGATTTAAAAGACTAGATTTGAATCTAAAAAAAGAAAAAAGAAATGACACCCTATAAAAGATTTATAAAAGGAGGAATGATTAGTCTGGGCCTGTCATAATTGAGGCATTGACTTGTGGCCATATATGATGACTCAGACTTTGTACTCTGCATTTAATCTATCCAAGTGCACACACACACACACACAGTAGTGAGTGAACACACACCCAGAGCAGTGGGCAGCCTTTTTTGCAGTGGTGCCCAGGGAGCAGTTGGGGTTTCGGTGCCTTGCTCAATGGTCTCACCTCAGTCGTGGTATTGAGGGTGGAAGAGAGCGCTGGTCATTCACTCCCCCCCGCCTACAATCCCTGCCGGCCCTGAGACGCGAACCCACAACCTTCAAGTTACAAGTCTGACTCTCTAACCATTAGGCCATGACTGCCCTAATAGCTAAGATGTAATAGTTTCGTTGTATTACTAAAAGCTAATAGCTAATAGCTTTTAGTAGCTATGTTAAGCCCTAATAGCTAGGTTGTAATAGCTAAGTTGCATAAAGTACTAAAAGACTAAAAGATTTACTAAAAGATTTAGCACACACTGAGCTTAGGAGGCACTGGTCCACCATTTGTTTATCATTTGTCTTTTGTGTGCTTTGCTCTTACATGATTGCACTAAGGGTGATTGGCGCACTAAGGGTGATCGGCGCACTAAGGGTGATTGGCGCACTAAGGGTGATCGGCGCACTAAGGGTGATTGGCATACAAACGGGAGTATGAAGAAAACCAGTGTTACTGAAACTTTTGTACATCTGGCAGGTAATTTTTATATGTGCTTGTTCTATGAAGGCATTTACATACCGCTTTATAAGGACTGATAAATGAGGTCCATTATGAGAATAAATTGATCTGTGGTAGTTACTGTAAGGTACTGTCATACTGAATAACAAATCCAAATATTCATCCATTTTAGCAACCCATACTTCATGTGCCCCAAGTCTAACTGTTGATTCCTATGGCTTGCCACATATTTTATTAATTTACTCCAATTATTATTCCAATAAAATTAAAGCAAGACAAGTTAATTCCTGTTATGACTTACATTATATTAGTTATAGACAGTCATACCGTCATCAGCCTCTCGTTTTTTTAATAAGACAAAAAAAAAAAAAAAACGTAGCTTCTATAAATAAGTACATCTGGTAATGCTTCTATTTCAGTCACATATTTCACTGACTGATGCCTTTGCCGGAATGTTTTGTCCTCAGGTGATATCTAATGTTCTTCAGGTGTTTCAACAATGAACCACAACACCTGTGTTGGTGGGTCAGCAGTGGTGGCCAAGTCACTGCCCATCACTTCCTGGCATCCAGATTAGCTCCTCCCTCCTATTCCATTCCTATTCCAAGAGGCTTTTTCTGCTGCCTCCTCATCTTTGAAAACCACTGCCTTCCTCTCCCTCGTTGTTATCCCAATGGCTGTTAGCATTCTCCACAGCGACTGTGCAGGAAATTCTCTACAGCCAACCCTGACTGGGAATAACCATGCCTGCCATCTAGGCATAAGACGATACAGTAAACCACAATATGAATGAAAAGTATCCCGATATAGGCTTCATGAGACGATATTGACATGAGACGATATTGACACAAATAAAATATTAAATTTTAATACATTTATTTTGTAATGACAGCAAATTAGACCACTGCAATATTGTATTGTAAGAAACGTAGATCAGGATTTATAGCATTTATAAGGTGTCATTTTCCCCTATTATTAATGTTATTTTATTAATTTTTTTCAACGTCATAAATGTATTTCATGCCGACATTACTAATATGGAAAGATTGTTTGATGGCAGATTGTGCCTTAAATGAAGGCCAAATAAGAAATTAGTGTCATCATTGGTTCTACTGCTGGCTGACAACTACCTGAAATGCACGAGTTCATCACACTTACCAATTTAATTGTACCGATGACAAAAACAATTGTTTAGTATATTTCCTCATTTCTCTGAAATTCATTTCTGGTTATGCCACTGCCAGGACAACACACGACATACTTCTGAATAGTTTTTAGACATGAGTGCGACTTACATCAAGTCGAGTTGATTTTAAACTGCGTTTCCAACCGTGGTCAAGCCAGCCGTAATAGAAACTCAAGTGCACGTACAGTATATACGGCATTTTACGGTAAAATACCTTTGGATAGCTATGGTATGGATGTGCTGTGATCTCTGGATAGTGAGAAATTGTTACTTCAAGGTAAACTTTGTGCTCTGTATTCGACTACCTCTAGTGCTGCTGCCCGGTGTCTAAGTAGAGGCAGAGCTCATAATGAATATTAAATGGAAATATCATGATTCACGATATGAGCAACAAATTCGTCTCGCCAATATTTTGTGTCATGTTATTCGAAACAATGATATTCTTTCTCATGCATACTGCCTTCATTTGACCCAGGATTCTTGCAAAAGGTCTAGGGACTTGTTGCTTTATCATTCAAAAACTTGCTCATGTCCCTCCTCCCATGGGACTGTCAGTCTAAAGAGAAAGGTTTTCTTAGCCTCTTTTGACCACATGACCATGTCTGGCCTCAGAGTTGTTTGGATAGCCTTTTTCCCAGGTTCACGGTCATGCCCCATGACTGAGCCATTTGGAGTAGGTTGTTCTTTGCACTTTTTGTGGTTGGTGGTTTTTCTCCCTCTCTCACAAATTTGACAGTTGCCGTTTGTCTCACATGGATGTTTCTTGTATCTTTCCTGCTCCAAGGTGTTAGTGAGTGACATGAACACTTTATCATGCCTACATCAGTATCTCCCTTGGGTGATGCAACTTTATATCCTGCCAGGATGTGCACCATGGTGCCACTCTCGCTGCAAAGCTTGCTCAGTTGCTTTTTATTTGTGCTACACTTGTACAAATTTGGTGGTGTTAGAAGTGTGTCATAAACTAAACACAACAGAAATACGTAATGGTTCCAGCTTCCATAATCCCATATGATTTTCTGTTTTGGGAGATCCCATTTTGTCTAGACTCTTTGTGATGTGAAGCTCTGTTTCTCTTGATCTTTGTCCTTCTTCCTCCAGGTTTCGAACTTCAGACTGCACCAGAGCACTCCCCTCTCATTTGAGTCTACTTTTCCCTACTGTTGGAAATGGGTAGGTCCAATTTCTGATGATGACACAGATCGTCAGTATGCTTTCAGCTTGGGCAACTGATACATCCGCTGCCCTGATCATGTGATACCTGCTTCTCTAATGTAATCATCCATGAAGTCTCTGTCAGTGTCATTATGACACACTGACCTCTTCACCCACTGATAAAAGTGGGAAATGTAGCTGGCTGACCTTATGTAGAGTCTCGCTGATGAGAAATTTAGTGGGATTCCTAGCCACCTTTGAAGGTTCTTGTTGATTATCCTCCCTAATTCCTTCATGCTTGTCATGTTACTGGAAACCACAAACTCCTCCGTCTTGAAGACTCTCGTAACAGAAAATTTACTAACTGTTATAAAGTGCTGCCACCCAAGGCTCATTCCATAAATGTTAAATAAACGTCTCCTTTCAGAAAGTACAGAATGCACATTTAGATCTCGACTAATCACAGTTTCATTGTAAACTGTCCTGAGTTATGACCTATTGTATATGCTTTACATTAATGTACTATCAGTGCATTGATTGAATCAAGAGGTTATTACCCATGGTCTGGTAGTTCAGTGCCACCATCTGACAGCCTACATTCCAGAAAGGCTGCGGGCTATAGTTAGAAGAGTCCATACGTGTTCCTTTGGGGTAGATTCGACTCATCTGTCTCTTGTTATATCTGAAGGATTCAGTAAAGGAATTCACTCACACGTTTGTGTGAGGAACATGGAAAATTCACAGCCATTTTCTGGATTGTAACTAGCATATTTTTTTAAATTGTCAAAGCAATTCAGATTCTATCATGTGCAGTTGAGGCCAAAAGTTACATATACCTAGGCTACAGACATTCAAACTGAATTTTTCACAACTTCATACATTTCATGTTACCATACATTTTGTGTGTTAGATCAATGAGGAGATCTACTTTATTTCCATAAGAGGTAATTTCAATATAATAGATACAGGTCAGGACTTTTTGATGGCCACTACACTACTTTTGTTTTGATGTCTTTATGTTCATTTTGATGTCTATTTTGTTACAACTTTGGAAGATCATTGTCCTGCTGTAGGTCCCAGTTGCAACCAAGGTTTAACTTTCTGGCTGATGTTTTGAGGAGTTCTTTCAGTATATCAAGATAATCTTCCTTTCTCATGATGTCTAATGTCTACTTTCTGAAGTGCACCAGTCCCTTTTCCAGCAAAACTCTGCAACATGATGCTGCCATCCCCATGCTTCACAGTTGGGATTGTGTTCTTTGGATTAAAAGCCTCACCCATTTTCCTCTATATATAGCACTGATCATTATGGTCTAACAGTCTAAAACTATGGTCTAACATGGGCTTCTTCCTTGCACAACAGTCTTTCAGCCCATGGTGATGTAGGACTTTCTTAATGGTGAATGTACATATTAGGTCCCTGATGCCTCCAACTCCATCACAAGTTCCTTTGTTGTCTTGGGGTTCAGTTGAACCTTTTAGACCAAAGTTCATTCATCCCTTCGAGCTCATTTGTGCCTCTTTCCTGAATGATTCAGTGTCTGCGTGGTTTCAAGATTTTTATATTTGCATACAATTGCTTGTACTTGTGGTACTTTCACTTGTTTAAAGACTGTTCCTCAGGAGGAACTGGACTTGAGGAGGTCCACAATTTTTTCCTGAAATCTTGGCTGAGTTGCTTGGATTTCCTATGGCATCAAGGGCAAAAAAAGGACCATCTCTAAAGATAGGCCCTTTTAGAGCAACAGGAATGAGCCAACCAGAAGCTTCTAAAAGTCATTACATCAATTTCTGGAAACTTCCAGACTGTTTAAAGAGACAGTCAACGTGGTGTGGGTAAAATTTTTACTCACTGGAATTCTGATATGTGATTAAAGCTGACATAAATCTCTCTTTTTAAAATCATTTTAAAATTACCTCTGATATGAACAAAGTAGACGCCCAAATTGTCTTGCCAAAAGAAATGTATGTTATCATGAAATGTGTGCAGTTTTTTAATTCTTGCTATTAAATTCTTAAAGTATTGGCAAATGAAATGTAAAGGATACTCGACAAACTCCACAGCACTCTTGGCTATCAGGTGCTCTCCTTTGGTTTCCACAAAAGAAGAGATGGCATAGCTCCTGTTCTTTTCTGCGCTTGGAAAATGATACATCATAAATGACAAGTTTGGATATTTGTCATTACAACTATGAAAGGAAACTTAACCAAACACAGATAAGGAACAAGCCCAAATAATTATAAACAAGTCACTAATAGATAAATAAATTTAAATTTATGTGTATGTATGTATGTGTGTGTGTA